ATAAAAAAGGAAGCATTTGCTTTAGTTTATAAAGAAAGTTAAATTATATTTAACCATTTTATTAAAAAAAATTTAAACATTTTTATGTGTTCAATTTTTTTATTATAATTAACTTATTTACTTCAAAAGTTATTAAATTATATTTTTGAATATTTTTAATTAATATTAAAATTTTAATTATAACAATAATTAGTTGAGATATAATTAAATATCATAAAAGTTGGAGGAAATAATTACTAAAAATAATTTGAAAATCTTAAAGATAAGAGTATTTATTAATAATAAATTTCGATAAATATTATATATATATATATATATATATATATATATATATATATATATATATATATATATATATATATATATATATATATATATATATATATATATATATATATATATATATATATATATATATATATATATATATATATATATATATATATATATATATATATATATATATATATATATATATATATATATATATATATATATATATATATATATATATATATATATATATATATATATATATATATATATATATATATATATATAACCTGAATATTGATTTAGCTAACAGGATGTTCGAAGAAAATAATCACAAAGAGTTTGTGTGCTTTGAAAGTGAAGTGCGAAAGAGTTTTCTTTCCTCATCCATTCTGGTGCTAACAGACAAGCAGTGGTATGGATAGTCTTCAGGAGGCAACTTCTGACATGCCACTGCTAACGAGTCGTACACCCATAGTAATTATGCCACATCACGCTTCAACTGCGCAACTCTGATAATCCACCTTAAATCACCGTCCTCGTTAAAATTTCCGTCAAATATATGGTTTACAAGTTTCAATCTAGTTTCAGACTTTCTTTAACATCCACTGTAAAATTGTTGTTCACTTGATATTCTCAATCTTTCACATTTTGCGACGTTAGCTCGCATATAACTCGCTACTCCGACTTGTTCAATACGTCTCAACTCTTTCTTGGCAATTCCTCTTATTACTTCACACAAACTGGTGAACAATTATCCTCATGATATAACATCAACCACTTCACTCACCATTAAGATAACAAGACAAGTCTATACTATCCAACACGATCTCGTCTACTATCAACAAGAGATTAAGAGTGATCAGTTCCTCAATTTGTCAATAGATAACTGACAACCATAATGGAGTATAAACCATCGTTACCAAACTATAACAGTGTTCCTTTAGAACTTGTACTCAAGTCACCTAAAGCACCATAATCCAATAATTTTCAATGAGGTTTACAAATACTTCCACAATTTCCCTCTCATTCGATTTTGTCGATGAGACACCAACGCTCAACATATCACATGGTCCACATAACACTCACTTAACCTCACACGAAAGTTAAGTATTCTCCAACTCAAGAATTACTTTCTTCATCCCTGCATCATCAAGAATACAAGTTCGATTACAGAGTCTAACACACCCTGCGCGTCTAACTTGAAATCATCATTCTGAGACTGATCAAGTTCAACCACCGAATATACCAATTCCACATCTAACTTCCGAGCTTCTTTGATACTGTCCATAAAATCATTCTTAATCTTCAACATCTCTAACATAACACTCTTCAGTGTCACTTCATAACTAAGCTCATATCTCTGAACTGTTCAATTATTCCTAACACTTTAACCATCATTACCGACAGGTGCAAAGTCCTTTGGCTTAAAGCATCTGCTACAACATTAGCTTTATCTAGATGATAATTCAAACCAAAATTATAATCTTTCAACATGAACACCACCGTTGCTAACTCTAAGTCACACGTAGGATAATTCCTCTCATAAACTATGGGTCGTCTAGAAGCACAAGCAACAACTTATCCATTCTGCATTGGGACACCACCAAGTCCCCTCTTAGACACATTCATAATACACTACAAATGACTCACTCGGGTTAGGCAAAACCAATACCGAAGCAGTCGTCAATCTTTTCTTTAGTTCTATAAAACTTTCTCCACATGCAACATCCATGTAGGAATGCATCTACCATATTCGAAAACACTTCATAGGATATAATACATCTCTATCTCCTCACAGGTTCAAACAGAACGCCAATCTGATAATCGAAACACAGGATATTAATTTCCAAAGTCATCTGGAAATGCAAACACCGACGTCACGCAACAACATACTATTACACATCTTACGATAACATCATAACAAAATTTCTTTGTACCAGTACCAACATTTTCCATTCTTGAAATCGTACTCATCTCCTCGCATTTCTGACTCTGACTTATGATTCAAAACATTCCCAACAACTTCAACTTTTACAATCACTTACAAGTATTCCACGACACGATCTACAACAATTTGTTACTCTATCACCATTTAAACGTCGACATCTTTTGAAGGCTACATGAACCGACAAATTCACAGTGCGCCAGCAGCGCTGAAACATCGCAACTTTCTAAATTCCATCTTCTAAAAATTATCCTTGTTACTTAACAATCACCTTCAGAAATATCAGGGATTTACACTCTACTCATATATCAACAACCGTTACATTGATCCTCATCCTTCGATAAGTAAACAACAACAATGTCTGATCGTCCTCCCTCGAGACGCTCCATATTGATTAACAAACAAAATCTTGAATCCATGTCACCTTCGAATTAGGGAAACAACAAAACTTCAACAATACTTGCATTGTCGTCATACCGAACCAACATCTTACAACCGAAACACATCCGAGAAGAAAAGCTTCTCCCCCACTTATCTTTAACCAACTCCTGCATACAAGCGATTAGAATAACAAGCAAGCACCGACAGTGTTTCACACACTGGCCGCGCACTAAGGAATAAACAACATTAGACAACTTGGGCGGATGGACCGACCTGCTCTGATACCACTAATATAACACCCAAATTCTACCCGACGGATAATAATAAAATAAGAGTTCAACATAAATAGGATGCTACATTTTCAACTTAAAATCAAACATCATTTAAACACATATAAAATAGATACATAACACTTAATTCAGATGAACTGATAACAATCTGATTTATTCTTCAAAATCAAACAACTTTTTATTGATAGGCAGCGGAATCTACATACTCAACTTCAATTCACTTAACATCTTTATTCAACTAAAACAACTTCAAGACAACAGTTACTTCACGTAAACAACTTAAAGATTCGGCAACAGGAATAAATATCTACAACTAAACATCAAGCGTTCATCCCCCGAGTGCTACGTATCAGAGCAACAACACCGACTCGAACTAACGAGGTAACAACTATCCTTCTTGATTACCTGCACGTTACCAACAGAGGGTAACATTCAAACAGAAGGGGTGAGATATCGAACTATATAATAGAACGTGTGATAAATAATATATCAGAATCAGATCATATAAAATCACCACTTCACCACTTACAAACAACTTTAATCACAATGAAACATCAACACGACATAACTACTAAATTCACAACTTTTAAATAATACTTGTCACAACAAGTCAACAACATAAAGCGAAAACGAATCTATCTTCACCATAACTCAAAATGCAACATCAAATGCGACTCAATTACAATGCACATGCATGTGGTACCAACAGGGCTTCATCCCCCATCACCAATTGCCAATTATTAGAGGCATTCAAACAAGGCATAAGCCTTCATCGCTATTTTGCCAATACAGGCCTTCACAAAATCCTCCAATACAGGCCTTCACAAATGCAAATGTATGAATGTACAACACATACAACAACATTATTAAACACTTCACGAGGCATACGCCTATATCACAACTTCACTGGCCATTGGCCTACAACGTCATCAACGTAATTAATAACAATTCATCATTCATCGCAAGGCATAAGCCCACATCACCATCATTACCAGTAAATAGAGGTAATTCATCATCATCTAAAATTCTCTGCAACTTCACATTATCAACAAGGATTCACAGAGACAATCACAACAACACAATATCTCAACATTGGCCATAAGCCTACAACATAATATTGCCCATAAGTAGAGGCAATTCAACCAAAGTCATCATCACCTGTAATTTTATATTTTTCAGCAAGGTAAACAACACACCAAATCAACTAAAATAAGTTACTAGCACCCCATATTTATTCGGGCAATTCTCGACTATACCGGTTAATTAATTATCGGATAAAATTTCTATTAATTCTACTTTATATTAACATCCTTATTAGCCCTCTGTTAAATTAGTACTACACTGCTACAAAACCTATACTGTCAAATGCGAGACCTACTATTTTCCTGCCACTGGATATTAGTGTTCTGTTTCATCAAAGAATGCAATTCTTCTAACAATACTACTCTGTACTTTATTTTGGGCTACTCAATAAACTTATTACTGTTGCTGCTAAGTTTACTATACTAATAGTATATATACATATGAAGGTTTCTGGTACTTTATTTATCTTTATTGTTGAGGTCCTTCTACTAATTATCTGCTAAGGTTATTTTCCATACATCACTGCTATTAATAAATATAATTATGTTCCTGTTAAAATTACCTACTGCTACTTGAACACTAATTTTGCTAAATTAATTGAATAAGTAATGCTTCTACTTTTTTTTATACTACCATGATACTAGTCATTATTATTATACTACTATTGTAATGTTCACTTAAGATATATATATATATATATATATATATATATATATATATATATATATATATATATATATATATATATATATATATATATATATATATATATATGCCTGAAGGTCGTCACCCGTGCCATCTTGCCTGCCGATCGGCAAGGCCCTTCCATTAACATTAGTGCCGGTCAGCACCTCCATTCACAACACATGTCGTCTGTCGGTCGGCACCCTTTCCAAACACATGTAATTTTTTTGCTACTTTTCTGGATTTCCTTCGACTCATAGTTCAGAAACCCGGACCAACATGATATTTAATTAAGCAACATCGCAACTATACCAGCATTAATATAGAGTAGTTTTTAACGCATGCTCATTGACAACAACCGATTTTCATCAGTTTCAGAAACATACACAACAATCAACACATATCTAGTAACAATTTTAACAACCCATGTCCCACATACTATTTATCATACACCCTATTATAGAGTCAGAACCCCACCCTTACCTTGGATTGGAGATCGCTCTATAATTCCGATTGCAACCCGCTGCTGCCATAGCTCCAAATCTTTATTCTTCTTCTTTTCTCCATGTACTGCATCCTTTTCTTTTCTCTTTCTCTAAAATCCTTATTCTTCATTTTCTCATAAAAACCTAATTTTCTTTTATTCACCTCAACATATAGATTATATTATTCTTAATAATTTCATTGGGCCTAATCTCAACACCCCCACTTTTACTACCACCAACCATTAATTAAGCTCATATAATATATCTAGTATTATTTCAATACTATTTCTACAACTTAATCAACCAAATAATCATCTAACAACACGACAACTTAAATCAACATTTCAACAATAATTCACAACTTCGACAATTAATTCAAAAAAAATTCAAAAAAAATTAATTAAATAATTAATTAAATACCAGGCGTTACACTGCTCAGGAGCCAAAGGGTATTCGGCACGATGGAGAAGCTGCGCATGTGTGACCGACAATGGAATTTCGCGGATCTGCAGATCGATAGTGCTGTGAGGAGTACGACGCCAGCTTCAACTTCTTCTTCTGTTTTTCTGTCAAACAAAAATAACAAGCAAACAAATAATGATAATGATGGTGGTTGTTTTACAGGTTTAGTAAGAAGTTTGATTTTTTGAATATGAATTAGTGGTGGTTCATTTTCTGTTTCCTGTAACTTGTTTCTTTTTGCCAATTTTCTTTTTTCTGTAACATAGTGATTTTTTCCTCTGTTTTTCTCCCTGTTGTACTTCGTTCCCCCTGCCCCTTTTCTATAATAGTTTTCTCGGGTTTTATTTTATAACCTGTAGGGATTCATGAATTAGGAAATGGGAATAGGAGTGTTTATTGATTTTGATTTTGCAATGATTTGAATTGATTAAAATTTTGATTGTTAATAAACATTTTCTCAATTTAATCCGTACATTATTTGTTCTAGATTTGAGCCACATTTTTCTAACTACGACTTGGGCCTGTGACTTTGTTAAAAAGACATCATGTTAAAAAATAGACTTGCTTGTTTTATTGGGTTTGAAAAAAAAAGTTTCTCTTTTAACTATTGGGCTTAGGATGTTGTCATGTTGTTTAAAACAAAATGTCTTTTTAAAATAATGCTTAATCATTACAAAACTGGTATACCTAAATTAATATAAATTTTTTAATTAAAATGAACATTTATGAAAACAACAGTAATAACAAGTTAATAATAATAAAGTTGTAATAAAACAGTTTAAACCAAAAAATTAAATGGGCCTAATTGTTTAATTTATTGGGCTTAAAAATATATTGTTTTACACAATTTCTGACTTTTTTTTTTATAAAAAAAATTAACGGTCCTTTATGAGATTTATTCATGCCTTGTCTAAAACAAATACACTCCTCGTTAAGAAACGAACTCTCATTTTAAATTCTAAAGGGCTATCACATATTAATGGTCTATTTTAAATCGACACACTCCTATTTTTATGCTTTAATCTCTCTATAAAAAATAAAAAATAAATAATACGAATTATTTAATTAGAAACTCAAATATAATATAAGGGTATGACAAATTTGAGGTATGACAAACACGAGAAACCTTACCATTTTTCCAATCCAATTCAACTGACCAGTATTGTCGATCAACCTTTGATCACCCATCAGCCCCACCACGATATAGCTTTGACGGCATGAGCAACCAACTTTTTGACAACGGATATTCGGGACAATAAGGTGACCTGACGAATTACACGAACCCTGATCGCATTGAGGTATTACAAGGGACATTGACCTAAATACAACAGGAACCTCAAAGGGTTGCACATCAACGAGTTAGGAGAACGTCATCGACCCGGATACAACAGAAAACTCAAAGGGTTGCGGGCTAAACACAACAGAAAACTCAAAGGATTGTGGGTCAACGAGTTAGAAAAACATTGCAGTGCGGAACCGGTGACTATTACGATGATCTATAACATTTAAATATATGTATTTCTTAATCCTCAAATGTAATACTTTTTTATTTAAATAGTAATATCATTTTTTGGTTAATTTTTAATATTATTTAAAAATAGAAAAGAAAAAAAAATTCATATCCACATAAAAGTCACCTCGAGTGGCACCTTACTTTTTTGATACACATAGACGTCATTCCATGACTTCTTCACTTTATTTTAACACATAAGAGTCATCTGAAATGACGCTAATACTATTTTATAATTTCAAACATGATTATTTAAATAAATATTTTAAAAAATTAGTTATTTACATAATTAACTTGATTATTGTAAAATAAATTTCAAAAGATTATATGTGGGATAAATTTTTCTAAATTACTTATATGTTCCTCCTTTATATAAGAGTTAGGAAACTTTTTTATTTGGTAAAAATTCAAGCCATTTGTCTACTTAAAACTAACTTGCATCGTTATTTTTATAATTTCATTTACAACTTGTTTAGTAAAAGTTAGCCTATATCTTTATCTTCATAATTGTATTTTGTTTTTATTTATTATAATATTTATTAAATATTAAAATTAATTTTTTATGGTTGTTATTTTAAATTTTGCAATTTTTTAATTTTAAATGTAAAATTTATTATTTTTTTACCATATAAATTTATATAGTCGAGAAATTCACAATAAAAAATTCAATAAAATTTAAATTTAAATTTAAATTTTTACTATAGCCATTAACCTCAATCTCAATCACAAACTGCCTCTTTAGATATCCACTCTCACCCTTGTTATAACAAGCAAAACCTTATCCAACTAGGTTTTAATCAATGACATCAATACCCCTCCCTCATATATTTATTTGAATGAAAATAAATTTAAATAAAAATTCAAATACACAAATTTTATATACATTTTTACTAAAACAAAATTATCAATTAATATTAAACAAAAATACAAATACTCATATTTGTAAAATACAAAAAAAGCAAACAAAAATTAATTTAATATATGATTGTGAATGAAAAGTTTGGAGTAAAATTGAAAATACAGAAATTAGAAACTTTCTTTATTTGGTAAAAGTTGAGGTCCTTTATCTACTTAAAACTTGCATCGTTATTATTTGCATTTCTAAAATTTATTTATTTTAATATTTATTAAATATTCTAATTAAATTTTTATAGTTTCATTTAATTTTTACAATTTAAAAACTTAAATATAAAATTTATTTATTTCCCTGACATGTAAATTCGCATACTCGAGAAATTCACAATAAAAAATTCGATAAAATATAAATGTAAATGTTTATTATAGCCATTAAAATGACATTAAAGTTATTTTTCGTAAATTCATTTTTATACAAATTTTATTAAACAGTTCGTGCTAAGCTTGTATAAAGCAAAAATCAAAAATTAAATTTTAAAAAAAATATCTTGATATTATTTTTCAAGGATTCAGGGTGCAAAATATTTAAGTTAAAATTATAAATTTGAGATTTAAGCCTGGCTTAATTTCCTCACCACTAAATCCGTCTGTGATAAAAAAAAAAATTGGTAGTGGGCCCTTTAAAATGACGTGGCGTATGGATAAATGTGAGATCCAGCTGTATGTTATGGTTCAAACACCATAATCAAAGTCTCTTTCATTTTTCTCCTCTCCAATTTCTCATAACCCGATAATTTGCCACTTCTCTCATCAACCTTATCCACTGCAACATTGTCCCACCAATCACGTGTTCGCAAATTATCCTCTCAATCCTACGTGGAGATTCCCATTCGGCGCCGCTAAGGTACGACGGTGCTTCCGCTGCACGGGAACAGATCGGTCAAACGGCGACACGAATCTCGATACAGAGCAGTGTCCAGGTATTGCCACGTGGCGTGTTGAAAGGTTTCGTTAGCCAATGGTTGTTCGTAACGTGTCTCGTGTGACAGATATTTTTAGACAGTTCATCGAGTGGGTCCCATGTTTATATTTGCCGAAAAGACATAGTTGGATAAGGATTTATAATTAGGACTCATGAGAAATGATTCTCTACTTTGTTATTATGTTTGTTTTTTTATGATACTGTTTATGAAAATATTTTTTTCTTATTTCTTCTGTTTTAATTATAATATTATTCAATAAATATTTATTTATTTATAAATATATGTTTTTTTAATATATCTATTATTATTGTTGAATAAATACTTTATTTTGAAAGGATAAAAAGTATATTAAGAAACTATTCTATTTTAGTACAAGGAGTGCAAGAAAGAAAAAAAAGTGAAGGTACACAGGTAAAGATACAAAAATTAAAATAATGTAAGGAATTTAAAAGTCTAAACATTCAATAATATTGATCTATCAATTGATTTAGGTAATATGTGAAGGAGATGTATTTGGCCTTAATCTATCATCAAAGGTACATGTTTAACATGATTAATAATTTTAGAATATGACATTTTCTTGTGTCGAATAATTTGCTATTAAGACCAAATAATTCAAACACAACCTAATCAAATGGCTCCAAAACAATCACAAATTTTTTTAAGTGGAAAAAGACTAATTAATTTATAGGTAAGATAAACAATATTAGTATTTGACAAAACACTTAAATTTCCTAACCAATTCAAAATGTCATACCAAACACTTCTAGAGAAAACACAATCAAAATTTAATGGCTTAAATATGTTTTTACTCTTATAAATATTTAAAATTTTATTTTTAGACCTTAAAAAAAATATATTTTGAATAATATATTTTAAATATGTTTAATATATTATTTTCTAAAATTTTAAAAAGTATTTAATTATCTTTAAATTTTTAAAATTTTGAATAATTTTTTTAACATGTCTAAAATACTATAAAATGTTTCTTTACTAAAATTTAGTTTTAAAATAAGAAGAATTAAATATAAAATTTTTAAATTTTAAAAAATGTTTAATTACTCTTAAATTTTAAAATTTTTGAATAATTTTTTTATACATGCTTAAAATACTATAATATATTTCTTTACTAAAATTTAAATTTTTTTGAAATAAGAAGAATTAAATATAAATTTTCAAAATTTTAAAAGATAATGATAGAAATAATGAAAATATGAACTTAAAAATTAAATTTTAATTTTTTTTTGAGAATTTTTTTATAATATTTTAAATATATCTATAAAAAATTATTTAAAAATATATATTAATTTAACAGTAGAAATCAAAATCAGATATATAATAATTTCGTAAGAACCAAAATATATTATTATTTTATACAAACAAATATAAAATTTATAATTTTATAAGGATAAAAACATATTTAACTCAAGTTTAAATATTGAGAGTTTTTTTTTAATGACAAATCTATGGAGACAATAAGAATATTTTGCATTAATGACACCATGTTGTATCAAATTGTTTTTTTCTTTTGAAGACAGTTTTGAATCAATCTAAAAAAAAAACCTTTAAAAGAGTCAATTTATTCCAAATTAAATTTTTAAGGGGAATTTGTTTGAAGGATTAAAATTATAATTTCAAAAATCTCATTCTTAGAAATATTAATGTTTAAAATTTTATTCTCATTCATTTGTTTGGTAAGTTATTAAGATTTTTAAAAATATTTTTAAATTTTATTTTATTTATAATTTTAAAAATTTAAAATATAAAAAAAAATTAAAATAATATAGAAGTAGGTAATTATAGATGGTTATTTTTTATTTTCATATGAATATAAAATTCT